AAGTGGTAAGAGTGGACATCCTTGTCTTGTTCCTGATCTTAGAGGGAAAAGCTTTTTGCTTTTTGCCATTTAATATGATGTGAGTTTATAGGTATATGCCATTTATTATTTTGAGGTATGTTCCCTCTATACGCATTTTGTTGAGACTTTATCATGAATGGATGTTGATCTTTGTCAAATGCTTTTTCAGCATCTATTGAGATGATCATATGTTTTTTATCCTTCCTTTTGTTAATGTGGTGTATCAATTGATTAATTTACAAATATTGTATCATCCTTGCATCCCTGTAATAAATCTTACTTAGTTATGATGGATAATCCTTTTGATGCATTTTTTAATTTGGTTTGCTAATATTTTCTTGAATATATTTGCATCTATGTTCATCAGGGATATTGGTCTGTAATTTTTTTTTTCTTTAGTATCTTTGGTTTTGGTATTATAGTAATGCTGGCCTGATAGAATGAGTTTGGAAGTATTCTCTACTCTTCTATTGTTTTGAATACTTTAAGAAGGATGGATATTAAGTGTTCCTTAAATGTATCATAGAATTCACCTGTAAAGTCACGTGGTTCTGGGATTTTGTTTGTTGGGAGTTTTGTGATTACCAGCTCCATTTTGTTACTGATAATTGGTATGCTCAGATTTTCTATTTCTTCCTGGTTAGTGTTAGAAGATTGTACATTTTAGGAATCTGTCCATTTCTTCTAGGTTGTCTAATTTATTGGCATGTAATTTTTTTGTAAAGTTTCCTTATAATTCTTTGAATTTCTGTGGTGTTAGTTGTAACTTACTCCTTTTCATTTCTGATTTGAATTGTGTTATCTGTCTTTTTCTCTTGACAATCTAAGGGTTTGTCTACTTTTATTTTCTTGAAAAACAGCCTTTTAGTTTCATTTATTTTTTTCTATTTTGTTATTCTTCTCTATGTTATTTATTTCCTCTCTGATCTTTACTTTGTCCTTTCTACTAACTCTTGATTTCATTTGGTCTTCATTTTCTAGTTATGAGTTTAGACTTTATTTTGGATCATTCTTATTTCTTGGTGTAGACCTCAAGAAACTTCCCTCTTTTAATGGCTTTTGCTGCATCCCACATAATTTGAACCATTGCTTCTTTTTTCATTGTTCTCCATGTATTGTTGGATTTTCTCTTGATTTGTTCATTGATCCACTGATTATTTAGAAGCATGTTGTTTAGCCTCCATGTGTTTGTGGGTTTTTTAGTTTTCTTCATGCAATTAATTTCTAGTTTCATACCCTTGTGGTCTGAAAAGATGCTTGACACAATTTCAATCTTTTTGACTTGATTGAGATTTTTTGTGTCCTAATATGTGATGTATTCTGGAGAACCTTCCATGTGCACTTGAGAAAAATGTGTGTTCTGCTGTTTTTGGGTGGAATGTTTTGTATATATATATATGCTAAGACCATCCAGCCTAATGTGTTCTTCAGTGCCTCTGGTTATATTCTGCCTGGAGGATCTATCCATTGACATATGTGGAATGTTAAAAATCCCATGATATGCTTTATTGCTGTATTTTTCTTCTTCTAAGTCTGTTAGTGTTTGTTTTACATATTTACGGGCTCCTATGTTAGGTGCATAGTTATCTACAATTGTTATATCCTCTTTTTTGACTGATCCCTTTATTCTTAGGTAATGTTCTTTGTCTCTTGTTACTTTCTTTGTTTTGAAGTCTATTTTGTCTGATATAAGTACTGCTACTCCTTTGCCCCCTATTATTTGTACAAAATATCAATTTTCATCCCTTCACTGTCAATCTTTGTATCTTTAGATCTGAAATGAATCTTCTTGTAGGCAATGAATCTCTTGAATGCAGCCATTTTGCCACTCTGTGTCTTTTGGTTGGTGCATTTATTCCATTTACATTTAAGATAATTATTGATAAGAATGTACTTATTGCCATTTTATTAATTGTTTTCTGGTTGCTTTTGTAGTTATTCTATGCTTTTTTCTCCTCTTTTACTCTTGTCTTGTGATTTGATGATATGGTTTTCTTTAGTTTATGCTTGGACTTCTTTTTCTTTTTAATGTTCTGTGTAGGTATTATTGGCTTTAGGCTTGTGGTAACAATAAGGCTCATAGTTTCATTTATATACAACAATTAAGTTATATATATTATATGTATAATATATATTAATATTACTTTATTAAGTTGATGGTTACTCTATTTTAAACACATTCTGAAAGTATTACCTTTTTATTCCTCTTCCTCCTCTGCATTTCATTTCAAAGTGTCATAATCTACATATTTTGTGTATCACTTTACTAATTTTGTATATAGTTTAATACTTTTGTATTTTAACCACATGCTTGCTTTGTAATTGCTTTATTACCTTTACTATAGGTTTATTTTCACTGATGTGAAATATTTTGACATAAAAATATTTCCATCTAAAGAAGCTCCATTAATATGTCCTGTAAGGCCAGTTTAGTGATGGTGAATTCTTTTAACCTTCATTTATCTGGGAAGCTTTTAATCTCTCCTTCAATTCTGAATGATAATCTTACTGGGAAGAGAATTCTTGGTTGTAGGTTCTTTCCTTTCAATAGTTTGAGTATTTCTAGCCACCCCCTCTGTCTTATGAAGTTTATGCTGAGAAATCTGATGAAAGCACAATGTAGTTTCTTTTTAATGTAATTATCTGCCACTCTCTTGCAGCTTTTAAAATTCTTTATCTTTAATCTTACCATTTTAATTACTATATGCCTTGGTGTTGTCTTTCTGGGGTTTTTCTGTTTAGGGGCTTTCTGCACTTCCAGAATCTGGGTGTCTTATTTCCTTCCCCACACTGGGAAAGTTTTCAGCTATTATTTCTTCAGAGACTTTCTACTCCTTTGTCTCTCTCTTCTCTTTCTGGGACCCCCTATTATGTGAATATGGTTTCATTTAAAATTATCCACAGCTGTCTTAGCATCTTCTCATTTTTAGAAACTCCTTTTTATCTCTGTTCCTCAGCTTGGTTACTGTGCTATTCTCTATCTATCCACCCTGATTTTTTCCTCTGCTTCTACAAGTCTGCTATTCATTTCCTCTATTGTATTTTTCATTTCAGCTATTGTAGTCTTCAGCTATGAGTGGCTCTTTTTTATATATTCTATCTCTTTGTTGAAGCTCTTACTGAGATCATCAATTCTTTTTCCCAGTTCAGTGACCATTTTTCTAAAATTGAAGCATACTTGTGTCTAGCTAATTGATTTCAGCCACGGGCAAGTTCACTATGGATTCAATGTGACCAAAGAAATAACAGTAGTAGAACGTTCTTGGGGTGAAAGGTTTATGCCCAACTTTATTTTCATGGTGGCAGGTCAATCACAAGAATCCCATCCAGTCAGAGCCAGTCTGCATGCAGCAAGCCGATCTCTGCCTCTGGGCCTCTCTACCTGCACAGCCATCTCAGTCTCTTTCCTCAGTGCTGCCACCACTCCAGCCTCTGCTCTGCTCTCCTGTAGCCTTGCAGCTATGCCACCGTGTTGCCCAGAGCACTGGGTGGGGCTCTTTATATAGAATCAATAACAATGTATTGCCCACATGTGTGTAGTGAGCTAGTGGACCAGGGCCAGGTGAGAATCCTCTTCACTTTATCCACAACTTGATACACAATATAATATTGGTTTCAAGTATACAAAACAGTTGTTCAACAGTTACCCACATTATTAAATCCTTACCCCAACTAGTGCATTTACTATCTGTCAACATACAAAGATGATACAGAACCATTGACTATATTCTCCATGCTGCACTTCCATTCCTGTGACCAACTTATATTATGATTGAGATTTTTATGCCCTTTTATCCCCTTCACCCTCCCTACCCACACACTCCAACCCATCCCCCATACTAAATACCAGTCACTTCTTAGACAGCAGTGAGCATTTTTATGATTGTTACTTGAATTCTTTATCAAGAAGATTGCTAATCTTTGTTTCCATTAGCGTTTCTCTTCGTGCTTTAATCTTGTTCTTTTGTTTTGAACTGTCTTGCCAAAGGGTTTCAACCCAAGGCAAGTTTACTATGGTTTTAATGTGCCCAAAGAAATGACAGTAGAACGTTCTTGGTATGAAAGGCTTATACCCAACTTTATTCCCATGGTGGCAGGTCAATCACTGGAATCCTGTCCACTCAGAGCGAGTCTTCATGCAGCAAGCCAGTCCCTGCCTCTGGGCCTCTCTACCCCTGCAGCTGTCTCAGTCTCTGTCCTCCATGCTGCCACCACTTCAGTCTCATCTCTGCTCTCCTGCAGCCTTACAGCTGTGCCACCATGTTGCTCAGAGCACTGGTGGGTGCTCTTTGTAAAGAGTCAGTAATGATGTATTGCCCACACATGTGTAGCAAGCGAGTTGACCAGGGCCAGGTGAAAATCCTAGTCATAGGAATCTTCATTTTATCCATAGGAATGTATTTCTCTGCCTCCTCATTTTGCTTGTGTTTCTGTGTTTCTTCCTTTGTATTAGATATATCAGCTATGCCTCTTGGTTTAGACAGTAATGGCTTCATGAAGTTATCATCCTGTGGTGCCCAGAAGTCAAGACCCTTTGCTCAACAGTGCCTGGTTCTCTTTTGTGTCTGAGCAGAAGTTGATGTTCTTGGTCTGTGGGCAGCACCTGCCTATCTGCTTTTCTTCTGGCAATGGCAGATCTCTATTGCTAGCATCTGCGCCCTTTGTGTGACATGAGACATTTTTGCTGGGATTCTTTGTTGGGGTGGGAACATCCTCTGCCTTCTAGTCAGCAGTGTCACACTGCTGCTGGGCTGAAGGTGCTGGGAAGGGCAGGCACACCATGCTGGGTTGGAACTAATGGGGTTGGTGGGGAGTTTTTTAGAGCTGGATCATGCAAACATCTGGTTAGTTTTGCTGAGAGAGGACCAGGAAAGCTGGGAAAGTATAGACCCCTCTGCCTAACAGTCAGCAAAACTGGACTGTGGCTTTGCTGAGTGTGCAGGACAAATTGAATATACAGAGCAGTGGCACCAGAGAGCCGAGCTGCCAGTGAGGGAGATGGAGAGTTTCAGAACTGGTTCCCACTAGCCCCTGACCAGTTGGGCTGAGGCTAACTGGAAACCCAGGTAAGTGTTGTTCACCACCTGCCTGCCAGTCAGCAAAGTCGGAGTGCTGCTGGGCCGAGCAGGCCAGGCAGGGTAGGTATACAGGGGAGCATCTCCATGGGGTTGAGCTGCCACTGAGGAAGAGGGAATGTTTTGGAGCTGGTTCCCACAAGCACCCAAACTGTTCGGCTGAGACATATCTGGGATAGTGTCGTCTGCCTGCCCCTTTTCCTATGGAGAGAGCTCCCTCCAACCCCTGCCCCTCTGGCACTCTTTACACTGATGGTAAATCTTTCTGCCTCCTCTCTGTTGAGTCTCAGCAGGACCAATGGAGCATGCCTGCTGTCCTCCACAAGCAACAGGAGTCTTGGCCTCCCAGAGTGCTTCCACTCTCCCTGGTGTCCATCCCCATTAATCACCAAAACATGCAATGTGGACTCTATTCCCTGTGCCAATATCCAGGGCCAGGTGTGCTGGATTTCTTAATGTTTATCCCCTCCCCATTCATTCCTCTCCTCCTGTGAGCTAGATGAGGGAAGAGTCTGAGTCCAGTCAGTCACAGCTCTGTCCAGTTACCTATCTCAGTGTGGGCTGCTCTTCTTTACCAGGTGTAGATGACCTGTTCTTCAGTCTTTAGGTCATTTTCTGGGTTAGTTGTATTTGCTGCAGTTGCTTCCTTAGTGTGTATGTGGAAGGAGATTTTCACCTTGCCTTCCAATCTGCCATCTTTTTGCTGCCCCACCTCTATTTAACTCTTGATTGCAGCTTAGAGATTAGGTCCAGACTGTCATGTAGAGCATCTCTAAGGGGGGAAAAAGCCTTTACAAGTGGCACAGTTTTTCCAGAGCTTTTGTACAATCAATTGAAGAGGGGTCTGATTCTGCACATTTAGGAAAAGAAAGAAATTAGAAACTTTTCTAACAGCATCTCACCATTTACCTTTTAAAATCCGGAGAGTTAAGAGTCTTAGCTATTTTTCCTTCAAAAAGCAGATTGAATCAGTTCCTCTTCAATTGATTACATTGGGAAATAGTTAAGGCAACCTGAAATCTGATTCGTAGAAGTTCTTCATCAACTCAGAAAACTAACAGTAAGTGACAGTTGATTTCACAAAGTTTTCTTTTAAAAATTGCCACCTAGTGACAAAGGAAAGAAAAAGATTAGTCTTTAATTTTAGAAAACTTGTCTTATACTGGTAAAAATCGTGATTTAATAGAATAAATACCAAATATTTATAGGGGAGGAAACAGAAGGTGACTTATTTTTCCATCTAACTTCCTTCTTGCCTATTTCATATAGATCTAAGCAAGTAATGTTCTTTGTAATAGAAATGTTATAGAAATGGGGAAAAAATGAAGAATGAGGTAGATATGAAATATAACCCTTCTGATACTTAGATTCTGTGTGACTAGTCTAGGCACAGGAGTCACATTTTTTAAAAATCTGACTTCTTTCTAAAATAATATAAAAAATATTTATGTAATACAAAATCAATCTAAGTTTTATTTAAGACTGCTAAAAATGTAGTGTGATGCAGTTGTCAACGCTAACAGAATTGTAATTTCCATTTTTTCTTGTTTTTTTCTTGCAACACCTCACATCCCCAATAGATGCTCCAGTTTTTCAATATCAATCCAAGCTGTCCAAAATTTTCTTCTGGTGCTGTCTTGATGCTGACACTTTCTTGTCTTTTCCTCTTTTTCTCTTTTATGATCTCTTCCACTGAAAATTATGCCTTATTGAAGATCAAGGTGGTGTGCTGCCCCTCAGTCCTTCCACTTATTTACGTTATCCTTATTATGTATTGTAAAGAGCTAGGAATTTAGCTAGCATATGCTAGGTTTTCGATAGAAGGCAAAGGAAGAGATTTTGTGAAAAATCCTAAGTTAATATTTTCCTATCTATACTCACATATGCAGAAGTAGATGTGCATATACTTAAGATATTACCAATTAGCACAGTAAGAGGTCAAGTATGACATAGTGATTTAAATAAACCTTAGTAGCCCCTCCTCACAGATATAAATATGATAAAAGGTAAAAAAATAAAAACATCACTGCCCTGATTGTTTTACTAACCTACAGTGTAGACTAGTTGTTAGTGAAGTCTTGTTTTGATCCCTTGACAGTTAACGGTTTGTTAGGTTATCTTTAAAAAAAATTACATTAGCTGCTGTTGGAACATTTTCTTATTTAATACTACTGTTGTATAAAATATATGTGCAGTTCTTGTAGAGCTTAATAATGTAACATAATTTTTCTAATATGATTATTTATAGTATAACTTTTCTAGGCAATATGACATACCTTTAACACATATATGCAAATAAAATTATTTAGAAAGATTAATGCCAACTGATAATTTATGCTAATCTTTCTGGATGTTAATAGAATAAGTGGACAAGTAAGATTTTTTTGTGGTCTAATTTTATATGTGTAAATATATCACAAATATGTATAGTGGCAATATATATCATTTTGTACTTGTGTAAGAATATAATGTTCTTACCCTCATTCCCAGAGCAAGGTGGCAGACCCATTCTAACTGAAGTTGTACAGAGGTGAACAAAATATCTTCTGTCAGGATTTCATTTCACCTGCCTCTCCCTTTGGAGAAAGTTGTTGATGTGCTGTGTATTCTGCATCTCAAAACCAGAGAGTAGGGGTCACTAGCTGCTCAGCTTCAGTCACATGAGGAAGACTTGGAAACAAATATTCCAAAAGCTTAGCTTTAAGCTCCTACTCTCGAGGAACACAAGAAATGAGCTGATTCATACCTGAAAAGTTTATATATGAGCAGTTATGACTGGTCAATTTGGATAGCACCATGGGAAGTGGCTGCTTTTGGAATGGCCACAGAGACCAGAGCTTGGTGGCCAAAGGATGTGTGAGGTTCCCTAAGCCAGTGATGGGCCCCCTGGAAGAGAATTGCCTTGGGAGGAATAATATCCAAGAGGTTTTTCTGGAGAGGTCTTGTGATCTCAACAAGAGATGTAGATGTCAGAATCTAGGATAAGAGAGAAATCTTTAAATCTCAGGAATTTTTACTTGTCCTTGAGAGATCTAAAAAAATAAGGATCTTCTGAGAACCCACAAAAGCACCCATGAGAGGAAGAATCAGTGTTTCGATGAATCTCCCTGCAGTGGAAAATATGGCCAGGTTAAACCCATATTAATGAGGTGAACTCCTACTTGTATTTACTTCTCTGAATTCTCCATGTTTCAACCATAGGGGTGAGTAAAACAGCATCTAGCAAACTTTTGGTGCCTAAAACAGCATCAAGGAGGTAATGGAGTGAGACTGAGAGAAGAAATCAACCATATGCTACTTCCACAGTGCAGGTTTTTCAGCCTGATCTGAAGGAGGTCAAAAATAAACTATGAGATTTTGGAACTTTGATATTACAGGAGGTTGAATTTTTTATGTATGCAAAAAAACAAACCATTCTTTTATTCTCTATACATGACTAAAACAGCTATAAAATTTGTTTTAAGCTTTTATCCCACAGTAGTGAAATTGAGCCCACAGAATAAATTTAATAGGTTGTTAGTGAGAAATAATAAAATGCATTCTGCTTCCATCCTTTAGAGCAGTTCATTCAATAAAGTTGTTAAATATAATTAAAAATTTAGAAAAAATATAGGATAAAATATTATTTCTTATGTCTTCTAGGGAAATAACAATGATGTGTATATTATATCATGTAATTTGAATCTTAAAGGAAAATAAAGAGCAGTTAATCAGGAGAAGACAGAATCAGATTCAAATCCCTGTTCAAAAATAATGAAATTTTCTATAGAATAAGGCTGATTACCTGGTATCTGAAAAAGTTTAGATATACTACTAATAGCTAGTCATATCATTTAGATAAGAAATCTAGTTTATTCATCTGGGTGACGTTTTTTAAATGTTACTATTGTGAGTAGAATTCTGTAATGGAAAACTCCCAAAGTAAACAAAGTCTTATTATTTTTTATATTTGTTCAATATTTTACATAAAAAGTCTAAATATATTGATAACTTGGCATATTCTTATGTTTGATCATGTTTAAACTCCTTAAGATTTCTAAGTTCTGTTTTCAGATAAGTAGGAACATTTTAGAAACTAGCATATGTTTTATGAGTATGTAGCCAGAGCCTCCAGACATACTCATTTACTTTTTAAAAGCAAGTATCTATGAATATTTCAGCTAACAATGCATTTAAAACTAGATTTTAGTGATGAAAGGATATACATAGGCTTTTAAACTATGAAAATTCCTGGAAAATTTTGCCTTAATATGGTATTCTAAAAATAATAGAATTATGTACAGCCCACACTTAAGGAGTGGTGGATTTATGGTCCTCCCCCTTGAGAATGGAGTATCTACATACATTCTTTAGAATTCTTTTAGGCAACAGATTTATCGGTTTTCCTCATTTATTTATTCAATCACTTATATCAGTGTGGACTCATTCACATTTTACATATTAGGTTATAATTTAATGCTACTACTTTATTAATCTTCTTGTTGAAGTTGTACCACCTTTGGCCATTAGGAGTTCTTGTAATTGGGTCCTGTGTCCCTTTGACATTCCCAATATTTGTATTTTTATTTTTGCTATTTATGTGTTTGGTTCTTCTTGCTAACAGTAAATTCCCATTTACTATAACAATAACTTTATAATGAAGAAACCTGACAATCACTACCTTGAGCCAGATGATGAAGGTCAACATCAACAGTGATAAGCCATGTTGATGCTATGTACTCTTGACATGACATCATTAGAATGGCACTTTACCTCTCTGGTCTTCTAAGCAAAGTCTGTAATTCGAATCTAATCATGGGAATATATCAGACAAATTCCAATGAGGAACATTCTGCAATAGGAGTAGTCCTCAGACTGTCAAAGTCATCAAAAATAAAGGAAATTAAGGAATCATCACCACCAAGAGTAGTCTACGGATATTTGGAAACTAAAGGTAATATGGAATCCTGGAAGGGATCCTGAAACAGAAAAAGGATAGTAAGTAAAAATTA